TAGGTAAGTGTCTGCTTTTCTCTTGCTGCTTTTAAGACTTTCTCTTTAAACTTTGGCATTTTAATTATGATGTGTCTTGTCATGGTCCTCTTTGGGTCCAACTTGTTTGGGACTCTCTGTCCTTCCTCGACTTGTTTGTTTATTTCCTTCACCAAATTAGGAACATTTTCTTCCCCTTTTACTTTTTTAGTTTTCGATTTCTTGCTTTTCCTCTTCTGGCACCCCAGTGGTTCGGATTTTGGTACATTTGGAGTCATCTCAGAGGCTCCCTATTCTAGCTTCGGGGTTTGTTTGGTTTTTTTTATTTTTTATTTTTTTTTATTTTTTTTCTTTTTTACTGTTCTGATTGAATGCTTTTTTCTTTCTTATGTTCTAGATTGTTGATTTGATTCTCAGCTTCAACCCCTCTACTGTTGGTTCCCTGTAGATTTTCCTTTATTTAACTTAATGCAACCTGTATTTCTCCCTGGGTCTTTTTTATGCTGTTACATTACACAGTGAGTTTCTGGAGCATCCTGATAGCAGTGTTTTGAACTGTTGCTTATCTCCATGTCATTTAGTTCTTATTCTGGAGCTTTGTTCTGTTCTTTTATTTGGGCCGTATTTCTTTGTCTTCTCATTTTGGCAGCCTCCCTGTGTTTGTTTCTGTGTATCAGGTAGAGCTCCTTTAACTCCGTCTTAGTAGTGTGGCCTGTGGTAGGAAACTCACCCATCTGGATGAATGTGGCTTCTTTTAAATCCTTGGTTGTTGGACTTCCATGCATACTGATTTTCTGACGAATCTGGGTGATACTTGTTTTATAGTCTAGTTGTAATTTTTGCTGAAGTTGTGCATGAAGGTGAAGTGTGGTTACCTATTGTCTTCATCTTGACCTGGATCTTAATTCAGCTTCTTTTTCAGTTTTTTTCAAGCTGGCCTTCTGCCGGTTTAAACAACTTAATTTAAAATTGTCTTCAATGTTGCTGTGACCAGTGTGACTCAGATGGTTGGAGCATTGTCCCATAAACTGAAGGGTCATGGGCCCAATTCTTGGTCAGGACACATAGCTGGGTTGCAGCTTCAGTCCCTCGTTGGGGTACTCAGGCAGCACTGGAACTGATGCAGTGACATCTAACTTCATCAGGCCATTTTAATAGCAAATTTCTTTGACTGTATGGCTTAATGATTCCAAAGTAATAGACCCTGACTAGAGCCCATGCTGGTAACCTGGGTATGTGCCCTGGCTGAGAATCCAACCCGTACCACTTCAGGCCACAGCAGAAAATAAAATAAAATTTTATTTTGGTATTTTTATGTCATAGCAAATACAGATTTAACTTTTTTAATTTTTCACTGCCTCATAATATTTTATTTTATTTTTTAATTATTTATTTATTTTTAGAGAGGGAAGGGGGGGAGAGAGAGAGAGAGAGACAGACAGACAGACAGACACATCAATGTGCGGTTGCTGGGGGTCATGGCCTGCAACCCAGGCATGTACCCTGACTGGGAATCGAACCTGCGACACTTTGGTTCGCAGCCCGCGCTCAATCTACTGAGCTACACCAGCTGGGGCTTCCTCATAATATTTTATTTTATAAGTACAGATATACTGTTTTTTATTTAGCTCATTCTTTAATTGGTGAACCTTTTAAGGTATTTTCAGTTTTTCACTTGTACACATACTATTGTAAAGAACCTACTTGCCTTTGGACACAATGCCAGGGTTTCTCTAAAGTAGATACCAAGAAGAATTGGTCTCTTAACAATTCTGTAGCTGCCTTCCACAACTGTTGTGCCTTTTATTTGGTATCATCCGTTTCCCCTTCCCTTCAACACCGATTCTTAGCAAGTTGAATATTTGTTTACATTTTACTGATTACCATTGAGACCAAGCATTTCTTTTACAGGTCTATGAGCCATTCGTATTTTTTCATCTGTTTTTCCTGAGTGGTGTTTTTACATTTGGTACTTTAATCTGCAGTATATTTGTGAGTGACATGAGACATCTAACATTTTTTTCTTTGTAAATATGCAATGTAAAAAAAAGATACAAAGAATAGATTTATTTGTGGTTGTTACTATAATCCTACTTAAATAATTTGAGCAAATTAACCAGAAACTTGGATATATTATCAGAGTTCAGCAAAGGTGGAGGGATACAAGATAAACTTACTGAATTTAAAAGCTTTTTTTAACACTCCAGCAATAACCTTTCAGAAAGTATAATAGGAAAACTGTATCTAAAAGTAGACCTAACAAGAAATGTGTAATAACAGAAAGGGAATTGCCTAATCGTATAGCAAAACATGTTTATAATGCTATTGTAATTAAAACTGGGGATGTTTGTCAGGTATACAAAGGTTGATGGAACAAAATATAATCTAAAAATCCATGTAGCAATAAATAGATGAAAATTTCAAATCAGATATAGGATAGGCTGTTCAAAGATCTTTTCAGTGTTCAATGATACTAGATTCAAAACTGATTTCAGTGTAGGCCCTAGGCTTACCTGGAATTCCTATTTGTTACCAAAAAAATTTAAAGACCTTAAAAGACTAATGTTTATATGTAATACTTTTTGAGGGTACAGTGACATCTCAGTCAGGCCTCTGTTACACTTTGTCTTCTACCTAAACCTGCTCTCAGCACATGCTCCTCGACCAGTTGCTTTTACCTGCCTAATTCACATTTCTAGAATTCAGCTCAGTTATGAAATAGATGCTCAAATGTTCAAACAGATTTTTGCCACCTCAAATTTAGATTCTATAGGTAATTTGTGGGTTAAGTCCAAATTTAATCATATTTTAAATATTTTTAGCTTCTACCTCAGATTTAGTATTTGCCCTTAATTCTTGCTGTTGATATACTCTTTCTTTATTAGTGATGGGAATGTTCCCCCTCCCCCTTTAACCCTTGTATAAATGGTGGAATTGATTTACTATATTAAGAAGTCTGTGGAGAAACTGTTGCTACCCAGAGGGCTTCTATGATTTGACTTTGCGTGGTTGCCTAGCTACTGCTAGTTAACTAAACATTTAGATATTTTGCTCTGAAAATTTCGCAGACAGAAAAGTTGGCACTTGAAATTCTTGTTCTTCTGGCTTTCCTAGCATTTTGTCCTTTTTTGTTTTGTTTGTGTTTTAGAAGAATGATTACAAAGCAGTATGAACAGAAGAAAGTAGTTACTGATGAATTTTTAATTGCCTACCATTATTATCATAAAATGACATAGTAGTGTTTTTAAATTTTAGACAAGGTTTTAAGGAAATATATCAGCAGCTCTCAGCAGTTGTGGATAAGAAGTTTCAACTGGAGCCAGAATTTTTTAACCTTGACAGTATGGAAATAGAGGGGATTTGGCCTATAAAACCTACCTAGCTAGGTTTAAATCCTTGAGCTGCCATTTAAACTGTAGAAGCCTTGAGCAAGTAGCAGCCTCTGAGTGTTTCTTCATCTTTAAAATGGGAGCAGCCCTGGCTGGTGCCGCTCAGTGGATTGAGTACTGTACTTGCTGCCTGGGAAAGGGTCACTGGTTTGATTCCTAGTCAAGGCACATGCCTGGGTTGTAGGCCAGGTTCCAGGTTGGGTCTTGAGTGCAAAAGGCAACAAATTGATGTTTCTCTGCCTCTCTTTCTACCCCTTTTCCCCTTTCTCTAAAAATAAGTAAAGAAATATTTAAAATTGGTTCAATAATTCCCTTGTGAAAGTGTCATTATAAAATAAGATAATGAATATAAGGCATTTAATCCAATGTTCACCACTTAACAGGGCCCTCAAATTTTTGGTAATAATGTTATATTGGCATTGCTGCCCTAACCCCACATTAGAAATGATACTTTAGCCCTGGCTGGCGTAGCTCAGTGGATTGAGCGCGGGCTGCAAACCAAAGTGTCGCAGGTTCGATTCCCGGTCAGGGCACATGCCTGGGTTGCAGGCCATGACCCCCAGCAACCGCACATTGATGTTTCTCTCTCTCTCTCTCTCTCTCTCTCTCTCTCTCTCTCTCTCTCTCTCTCTCTCTCTCTCTCTCCCCCCCTTCCCTCTCTAAAAATAAATAAATAAAATATTTAAAAAAAAAAAAGAAATGATACTTTAAATATCTTTCAGTGCTTAGCAAGTGTACCAGACTAATAAATTTGATTTCTGCTCTCACTACAATTCTATGTGGAACAAGTCATTCATCTTCTTTATGTTTTAAGGTGAGGGATGACATAGGTTATCTCCAAGTTCCTTTCTTGCTTTAAAATGTGGTTCATTTTATTGACCTTTCTCTTAAGGGTAGAATTAAAATATTGATCAGGAATTTCTTAGAGAAAAGGATAATGAGGGCATGCTGTTTGCCTCATAATGGCATAAAAATAATATTGGTATTAATAAAATCCTTCTTTGAAAAAAGGTTAAAATACAAATTACTGAAAACATGAACCCTTTTCATTTAGCAATCACCTTATTTTTAAAATTTAAGATTTCTTTAAAAAGTATACATTTTTACCACTCTACTGTTAAATTTCCGAACTTTGGTAGCCAATATGCAGAAGGGATGAAACAGTAAAATGTATTACAGATGTACACATTTACATAAGAAGAGTGCAAGGTTTTTTTTGTTTGTTTGTTTGTTTTTTTCATTCTCATGAGAGCTACTTCATATTCTTGTATTTATCAAGTTGTCATTCATTCAGCAAATATTTGTTTCAGTGTCTACCAGTATCACGTTGAACAGTGTATATAGGAAAATGATTAAGGCCAAGGATCTCTTAAAGTTCAGTCTAGGTCCTACTAAAAAGCATCTGTATTTTTAAATTATTGTCACAATAGTTACCTTAAAGGAAGATAAAACAGTAAATCTGTATCTCAACTTTATTGTCTGAGGTGTTCAGAAACTTGATGCTGTTTATGGCATGGCTTGGAATTTCTCACTTGAGAGACAGAGAGACTTGTAACACCAAAGACATACTAAATAATAGTGAAAACATGTTATTTCAGCATTAGTCTTAATATAGCATTGTTATATTTTCAGGAAACTGCTAAACTTCCTGTGGAAGTGAAGTAGAATTTCATAAGAACATAATGGGTAAGTTTCATAAGAAAATAACAGGTAAGTATTTCAACTAGTAGAAGCTGGCTTTTCTTCTCAAAAGTAGACCTTTGATATCAGTGAATGCAAGTTGGAAAACGGTCCAAGTAGACTGAAAGTAGTTGTTGAAATCAACAGCTTATGTTTACTGTGTATTCTTGGGGACAGATTAGTAACATGTACCAAATAAAACTTATTACTAGTGAATAAATTGTACCTTAAGGTACTAAAAACTTTCCCAACAGACATATAAAATGTTTACCTTGCAAAAAATACTAAAAGTATTTCTGCTTCTCTCTAGGGCTCCCTAAATTTTTAGAATAAGCCATAAGAAACTTTCTTTCAGATATTGGTAACCATAAATGTTAAAATTCCGTCTGTACAGTATTGTAGAAGTTACACATGTGAGAAGGATCTTGAAGGAATATACAAAAATACATACTCCCCCAGAAAGTTTAAATTGAGCTAACCGAAGGCAGCATGACAGCAATGGGTATGCTGGTAGCAAGTGACATCTAGGCACTCTGTCTCCTCACCTCTACTTTCCATTTTTAAAGACTGACATTTGTGTTCATTACTTTCATTTGCACAATAATTTAAGCAGTATATTATTTTCATAATAATTTTGTATGGATCAAGAGTAAATTCCTGAGCAAAGGAAGCCCTAACATTTACAATTTGGACTCATCAGAAGTTCAGCTTACATGGTGTAATCTTCAAGTTTGAATGTGCTGCTATAGTCACAAAAATATTGTTAGTAATACTTCCTTGAAAAATACTGGTAAATTTTCATTGAAAGTATAATCCTTGAATGTAAACTTTACTCTGACATTGGAAAATGTATAGAGAATAATAAATAAGAAGTCTAAAAAACTTTAAAATCTTGGTCGCTGTTATTCTCCAGAAATCTTTCTGGTGTGAGTTCTTCAAACGTTGGTAAACCTATTTATTGCCAGTAAATTTTGTGATTCAAAAATTATTTTACTACTTTACTTTAGATGGAGAAGAGAAAACCTATGGTGGCTGCGAAGGCCCTGATGCCATGTATGTCAAATTGATATCTTCAGATGGTCACGAATTTATTGTAAAGAGGGAACATGCACTAACATCAGGAACAATAAAAGCCATGTTGAGTGGCCCAGGTAGGAAGATTTATTTTCACTTCATTTATCTTCACTTTCAGTGTTTGATGAATGTATTTTTAAGTTGGGTTAAGTGACATAAGACATTTAAAAGAGACAGTAAATATTTGAATATGGCATGATTATGTTGCATTGGGGAAAAGTTGGTTTCTGCCATATTCAATTTATAGCTATTTACCCTAGTTTCAATAAAACCAAATTGGTTAAAAATTTGTAATAGGAAGGATCATTTCCCTAGGTTAATTTCCATGCCCACCTTCTTCAACACAGGACTCTTGATTTGTGCTCCTATTTCTAAGGTTTATCTGTAGAAGTTACCACCTCCCAAATGTCTGCTCTTAACATTTTCTTTGAGGTAATTTTTTTGCCTCAAGAAAAAAATTTTCTGAGGATTGGAATTTATGGAATATACGGTAATTTCTATGTTTAACTTTTAGAGGAAATGCCAAACTTTGCACAGTGGCTGAACCATTTTACGTTCCTACCAGCAATGTATGAGGGTTCCTCATGTGGTTTTCTGTCCACACCCTTTATTTGCCGTTGTTTTATTCCAGCCATTTTAATGGGTATGAAGTGGTATCTCATTGTGGTTTTGATAAGCATTTCCCTAATGACTAATGGTGTTGAATATATCTTCATGTGCTTGCTGGCTGTTTATGTATCCTCTGGAGAAATGTCTCTTCAAGTCCACTTTTTAATGGGGTTGTCTTTTTCATTGTTGAGTTGCAAGAGTTTTTTATAAATTCTGGACACTAGATTTTTATCAGATACATGATATGGTTATATTTTCTCCCATTCTGTGGGTTGTCATTTAATAGTGTCTTTTAATCAATAAAGTTTATGTGATAAAGCCCAGTTTATCTTTTATCCTTTTTGTTCTTTGTGGGTTTTGAGGGGTTTTTTTGGAGTCCTGTCTAAAAATCTATTGCCAAATCCAATGTCATGAAGTTTACCCCTATGTTTTCTTTTGAGTTCAGTGGTTTTAGCTCTTCCAGTTATGTTTTTTATTTTAAGTTAATTTTTGTATGATTATTCTTTTACATGTGGACATACCACTACCATTTGTTGAAGACATCATTTTTTACCCCATTGAATGGTTCTCTTTTTCTTTTTCATTTGAATGGTTGGACATTTATACAATGTCCAAATCCTGATTAGACTTAATGTTTCATCTTGTAAACTCATAATTAGAACTCCAGAGGCTTGATTAGTAGCTGGTTCATTTTACTAGGCAATAATACTTCATAGTTGGTATTATTGTATTCTTCTGTAACACATCTTTTAGCAATGTCAACATTGATTAGTGAACCAGAGTTATCAAGCTCATTCATCTATGAACAGTGTTCCAGTTAGACTTTCGTATAATGGCTTTAGCTTTCATTGTGATTACCACTGAGGCATACTTCATTTGTGGTTACAAAACACTGAATTTCTAAATGCATAATTTCTTCTACAGTTATTAATTAGACTTTTCCTTTAAAAAACTATTTGGTTACTGTGAAATACAGTCTGTAGAGGAAAAGAATGAAAAAAGATTTTTTTCCCCTTTACAAAGAGCCCTGGTGTCTTCTAATGGGAACCTAGGAACCCACGTCTGGGTGCTAGCAGGATTCCTTGCTCCTGGATTGAATCATTTTCTCCTGGACAGAAATAGGGTGTACTTTAGCAGGGAAATTATGGACACACCAAAAATTTTAGTTAAAAATTAAAATTAAAGGATTTTTTCTTTTTTGTAAGCTTGTTCTCCTTTAATTTAAAAATGGCTTTAGTCATCCTGTACATCAAAAAGTTACAGATTTGATCCCCAATCCAGAGCACATATAGGTTGCAGATTTGATCCCCGGTCAAGGAGTATATGGGAGGCAACTGATCAATGAATGTCTGTTCTGTCTGTCTGTCTGTCTGTCTCTCCCTCCCTCTTCACCCTTCTTTCCCCCCACCCACCCTGTCTCTAAAATTAAAGAGTATATCATCAGGTGAGGATATAAAAAATAAAAATAAGAGCTTTATCAAACTTTCAGCCCAAAACTGATGTTTTGCATAAGGAGGAATAAAGTACTAATACATGCTACAGTGTGGATGCACCTTTAAAACATTATGCCAAATGAAAGAAGCCATCCACAAAAGGCAGCAAGTTTATGATTCCATTTGTATGAAATATCCAGAACAGTTAAATCCATAGAGATAGAAAGTAGATTGGTATAATAGAAAGTACAGGTTGGGGGTAGGGAAATGAGGAGTAATTGCTAAGGGGCACAGGGTTTTTATTTGGGGGTGATAAGATGTTTTAGAACAAGATAGGTGGGTTGTGAAATGTACACTTCAAAATGGTTGATTTTATGTGATATGAATTTCACCTCAAAAAGAAAACATAATGTTTGTCCAGTCAAGATGGAGGCGTAGGTAAACACACCTCACCTTCAAGTACAACTATAGCAAAATATACAACTAGACTACAAAACAGATATCACCCAGAACTGTAGGAAAATCAAGCTGTATGGAAGTCCGACAACCCAATATTTAAAGAAGCCACATACATCCTGATGGGAGTAGGGGCAAAGACACGGAGAGGTGCCCGGAGGTGGAGAGGTATGGAGATAGGAAGCAGCAGTCCCACATCTATGTGTGGTGAATAAAAACCAGGTATACCTCAAGAGCAAGGGATTCCCAGCCCCAGTTCAGACCACACACAGCCCAGGGTTCTAGCTCCAGGAAGATAAATTCCCATAATGTCTGGCTGTAAAAACCAGTGGGGGTTGGGGTAGTAGAAGAAACTGCAGGATCCTCAGTCTCCTCCTAAAGGGCCCACAATGGACTTGGGACTCATGCAGACCTGCCCTCTCAGGGAGTCAGCAACAGCTGGAAGGGCACCAGTAGCATAAGGTGAGAAAGTGAAGTGACTGGCAACAGGGGAATTACTGAGAGAAAGCTTCCTCCTGTGCAAAACTCCAGAGGCCAGATAGCAGCATTGTCCCCCCTCCAAGCCCTCTCCCACAGAGAGCAACAGAGTGGTGACATGGGTTGCTTACCCTAAGGCCCTGGCCCATGCAACTTAGCAAGTGTGCTTTTCTACAGTAGGCCTCACTACTAATACAGGGAGTCAAAGCAGCACTACCTAAATTACAGAAACAAACACAGGGAGGTTGCCAAAATGAGGAGACAAAAAAAGATAGTCTAACTGAAAGAACAGAACAAAACTCCAGAAAAAGACCTAGGTGAAATGGAGATAAGCAACCCAGCAGATGCATAGTTCAAAACACTGCTTATCAATATGCTCCAGAAACTCATTGGGTACTGCAACAGCATAAAAAAGACCCAGGCAGAAATATAGGTTGCATTAAGTAGAAAAATGGATAATCTATAGAGAACCAAGAATGGGGGGGATGAAGCTGAGAATCAAATCAACAATCTGGAACATGAGGAAGGAAAAAAGCATTTGATCAGAACAGCAGGAAGAAACAAGAATTCAAAAAAAAAATGATAGGCTTAGGAACCTCTGGGTCATCTTAAAACGTGCCAACTTCCAAATCATAGGGGTGCCAGGAGAACAGGAAGAGCAAGAAATTGAAAACTTATTTCAAAAAACAATGAAAGAAAACTTCCCTAATTTGGTGAAGGAAATAAACATACAAGTCGAGGAAGGACAGAGAGTCCCAAACAAGTTGAACTCAAAGAGGACCACATCAAGACACATAATAATTAAAATGCCAAAGCTCAAAAATAGAGAATCTTAAAACCACCAAGGGAAAAGCAGGCTCACCTACAAAGGCAGTTCCCTTACTTTCAGCTGATTTCTCAAAAGATACTTTGAAGGCTAGAAGGGACTGGCAAGAAGTATTCAAAGTGATGAAAAGCAAAGACCTACAACCTAGATTACTCTGTCCAACGAAGCTATCATTTAGAATGGAAGGACAGATAAAGTGCTTCCAGACGAGATAAAACTAAAGGAGTTCATCATCACCAAGCCATCATTATATGAAATGCTAAAGGGAACTATATAACAAGATCAAAACTATGAACATTAAAATTGCAACAAACTCACAACTATCAATAATTGGGTCCAAATAATGAAGCAAACAAGCAGAATGGGAACAGAATCACACGTATGGAGATCATCTGGAGGGTTATTAGTTTGGAGGGAGAAGAGTGATGAGGAGGGGAAAGGTGCAAGGATCAACAAGCACAAATTGGTAGGTACAAAATAAACAGGCATGTTGAGAAGCATATAGGAAATGGAGAAGCCAAAGAGCTTACATTCATGACCCATGGACATGAACTAAGGTGGATGATGCTGGAGAAGATGGGGGTACCACAAGGAGAGGGACAAATTGGGACTTTAATAGCATAATCAATAAAATGTTTTTAAAAACCTAATATTTAGTGTCAAACACTTAATAAGTGCCTATTGCTAATATTTAATATATATGTTCAAGAAAGAAAATTTTCAGTATTTGCAAACCAGAAGTTATCTTATTGCTGTGGATTATTTGCTGAATCCTGCTCCACTTTTTCCCCACCCCACCTCCCAGCCAATATATCCATTTGAAAACTCTTAAAATACTACATTCTCAGAAAGTGTATTTTTCTGCCCTTTATATTCAGGTCATAGTGCTAGTGCTTGACTGCTAAGAAAATATTTCTGTAACAAAAGCTGAATAATAAAACCTTTATATAGCTAAAGAAATGTTGAGAGATTACTAAAAATTGTTTATGAAGTATTACTAAATAAAGGGAAGTTGCTGATATCATCTCGTTAACATGATATTTTTAAAAACTAAAGGGGGAAACAGTACATTTACTTCTGAAAAGATTTTTAAAATAAATAGTATTTCACTTCTTAGTTATTTTTACATGGCAATCCAGTATAGCACAGGGTTCTTGGTGGTCCATGCAAACTTGATTCCTACTCACACTTGAAGAATCCCTCCATGAAGATTCTTAGGAAAAAGCCCCTAACTATCCAAAGTTTGGGAGAGAATTAGAATTTTAAAATTCAGTCTTGATGAATCTCAAGTGCTGTCTTAATAAAGATTTTTTTGTATGTTTATACTCTGATATTTTGTTTAATGCTATTTGGGTTTGTTTTTTTCATGTCATAATAGTTTGCTAGGGCTTCCATAACAAAGTACCATGGACTGGGTAATTTATACAACAGAAATTTATTTTCTCGTGGTTCTGAAGGATAGAAATTCTAGATCGTGGTGCCAGCAAGGTGGGATTCTCCTGAGGCTTGTCTCCTAGATGGCCGTCTTCTCCCTATGTCTTCACATTGTCTTCCCTCTGTTTGTCTCTTATAAAGAGACCAGTCATTAAATTAGGGTTCATGCTAATAATCCTGTTTGCCGTAATAGCTCTTTAAGATCCCATCTCCTTGCTCACTTTGGCAGTACATGTACTAAAATTGGAATGATAGCATGGCCCCTGTGCAAGAATGACATGCAAATTTGTGAAGCGTTCCACATTTAAAATGCTTCCTGAATAGGAAAAAACGAAGCACCCAATTTCCAAGTAATCACATTCTGAAATACTGGGGGGTTGGGACTTCAACATATGAATTTCAAAGGAACACAATTCAGCCCATAATGAACATACCTTTTTTTCTTTTATAGGTCAGTTTGCTGAGAATGAAACTAATGAAGTCAATTTTAGAGAGATCCCCTCACATGTGCTATCAAAAGTATGCATGTATTTTACTTACAAGGTTCGCTACACTAACAGCTCCACGGAGATTCCTGAATTCCCAATTGCACCTGAAATTGCACTGGAACTGCTGATGGCTGCGAACTTCTTAGATTGTTAAATAAAATAAATTATAATAAACTGTTAACTTTTTTCAGTATTTAATACCTGTAGTTCAGTTAGAATTTTTTTCATATATAGCATGTTGCCTGTGTGCAATTGAACTTTAAAGTTAATTGGAAAGCAGATTATTGTCTCTTCTTTTGCATAGCAGAGTTGAAATTTGTTTGCTACATCAACAAGTTAAGGACATTTTCACAAATTGAGAAATAAACAAATACGCCACTTTGTAGGTAGTTTTGCCTTATTCTTTGGATGTGATTTTTAAATTAGAGCAATGGTGATATAATAAATGCTGAAATTTAGTCATAAATAGACAATATTCTACAGGTAAATATTGGGGCTATGTATTTTTATGTTTTTAGTGTTTTTTTGAAACCTATTCTGACCTTATAGCTGTCATTAGCATTACTAGAATTATGCAAATAATTGCATTATAAACAAGTTTATAACTTAGCCAAATATTGATTTTTATAACTGTCAAAGACATAAGAGTTGAAATTTCTTATGTGTCTTTTGATAAACTGCAGTATTGTTTAAGTATCTTGTCCTTTTGTTTTATTGCAACAATTTAAGAACTTTATTTAAAAGCAGTTTTGGAAGATTACTAGGTACGGCTTTTGGAGCAGTGACTTTTTGAACTGTAGTCACATGGTCAGTAAGTAAACTACATGACCTTGATTTTATGTGTACTGTGTATTTTGGCCAATCCAAAGTACTGTCCTTTCATTGACTTATAAAGCTTCTTTTGCAATATTCATCCTTCTTACCTAATCCCTTGTTGTGATTATACTTCTGGTTATTTAAATGTTTTAAAAGACTATGAACATTACCCAGATCTTAAAAGCTAATCTTTTCTGAACTATTGCAGTCTTCCTGCATCCAACTGAAATGTTTTAAAATATGACAAACGTAGCCCTGGCTGGCATAGCTCAGCGGATTGAGCGCGGGCTGTGAATCAAAGCATCGCAGGTTCGCATCCCAGTCAGGGCACATGCCTGGGTTGCAGGCCACAGCCCCCAGCAACTGCACATTGATGTTTCTCTCTCTCTCTCTCTCTCTTTCTCCCTCCCTTCTCTCTCTAAAAATAAATAAATAAAATCTTTTTAAAAAATAAAAATAAAATATGACAAATGTGAAGAGATGTAGTGCAAATCTTACAATGCACTTTGATGTAGTGTATTAATTACATTCTGTTAATTAAAATATGTCCCAATAAATATGCCCAACATCTCTGGGTCTTCTACTGAAATATAACTTCTAAAGAGGTCATTCAGCTTTTATACTAAGCAGACAAAAATATTCAAAAACTTATAGAATCGCTGCTTAGGTGTGGAAAAAGAGCACTGTAGTTTGGTATATTACTGTTTCTTAGTAAAGCAAAGCCGTCATTAAGGTCTATATGTTTTTAGCTTAGTTCTTTAAGACCAGTTTAATATGGACCAGTGTTTCTGGAAATTGCAAAAACCATGCAGAACCAAATTCTATAAATAATTTTCCTCTTAGAAGACAACATTATACTTTCCAGCTTATTGAAAGCAATTAAATATGTATGTTAATTGCATATATTTTAGTAACTTCTTAAGACATACTGGTACATATTTTAGGGTAGAAGATTATCAAGTGCAAGAATTATATTCTGCTACTTGGTGACAAATAATTCCAATTATAAACCTAAATAATGATCTTAAAGGTTAAGTAGATAGCTAGAACCAAGTTTAACTTTGACCAATTTTAGTAGGTTACTTTTTATGTTACATCCACAAGTAACCTTAAGTTAAAATACTGAAAAAGAACTAAAGGATTAGGAAAAGTTGTATATCTTGTGGCAAATGATACTTGCAATGTAATAAAGGCTCTGTTGACCAAAAGGTTTGATGAACACTTGGTGTTTGATCTTTTTAGCCTTAATTTTCTCTTTTTTCTGAGGATTCATGAAACTATTTGCTTCTGGACATATTGTCATATGATTGAATACTGGGGATTTTTATTTGGTTCATTTAAGAGAACTTGGTAATTAGCTTTCTGACACTTGGAAATTTGTTAGATTTTTTAATTATATGCAGGTCTCCTTGATACTTTTTTTTCTGCACAGAAAATATTACTACAAAATCCTTGGTTTTATTCAGTTAGCATTTCATTTTTGTAGTGTCTAGATTATTTTAAGTTTTCTAGATTATCTTTCATGAAATTATTGATAGCAAGTCTTTTGAAGAACCTTGTTGATATTAAGAAACACAATTTACTATAAGCAATAAATTCAGCTCATGGTAGAAGAGAGATACATGTAAAGGCATCTTGCTATTCATGAACCTGTCATCTTGGTCATTTTGCTAAGTTTATTAGTTATTCTTCTTTCATGAGTACAAATAATTCTGAGAAATAATATGAAGTTGCTGTTAAAGAATTAAGAGTATTTAAATTAATCCCAGTAATTTCTGTCTACCATATTTTGCTGTGTACAGTGCACTCCCATGCATATTTGCACACTCATGTTTTTGGCCCAAACTTTCGGGGGGGGGGAATCTTTCATTTTAATTTTTTAGTTCATTTATTTATTTATGTTTAGAAACAAAATGGATTATCGTGTTCCAGGGTATTGTTTTGCATACAGATACCATTAATGCTTTCTAGAGTTACACTTTTAACAACACATAAGCATAAATAAAAGGAATTAAAAACATGTAGGTATGGAATTAGCACTACCCATGTAAAATACGCAGCCTTATTTTTCCCTCAAAATTTGGGCAAAAAGGTATTCATGGCAAAATGTGGTATGTAGAGGAAATTTCATACAAATTAACGAAGCTTGGATGTACCCAGACTTAGCCGTGCTGAAATTGAATTTCTGATTGGTTATATCTAAGTTTGATAAAACACAATCTAGAAATCACTAGATGCCATTGATTTTATATATGGTATTTTATTTGCAATATATAAATCTGGTTTAATTTCAAGTCTGTTATATTTATGCTAAAGTTTCATGTTCTTACTGGGCTAAATTTTTTAATATTATACCTAATGGTGTGAGGGTTTATACAAATATTTCCTCACCCAGAAGTATTTTGGTATATTAGAGTACCTGCGGGGAGTTAGAAAGTCTGAAGCCTTGTGCTAATTAGCCATGTGATCTCGAACAAGTCACTGGGCCTTAATATCACATTTAGAAAATTAGGAAATTGCACATCTATAGGGTGATATTTACCACTCCTTTTTTTTGCAAGATGATGTTTATAGATGTTGCTTAAGTCCAAGATTGCGATGTTACACATGATAGATTGGAAGAACTATAAATAAAAGAAAATGGCTTTCTTGCTGCAACTCTTAAAAGTCAATAAATTTCACCTTTTGCTGCTTTTGATTATTAAATAATACACATCAGTACTAAATATATTAGCAAGATTAATTTAGGACCCTTTTAGTTTCCTATTGCCTGCCATATAAAGAAAATTTAACTTTAGCTCTGGTTATCAATAATTGTTGATGTAAAGGGAGATTTATGTGCTGTTTTCATACCAGTGTATGCAAAGCCAAGTTAACCCAAAATGCATTTTTCATTCATACTCTTAATTTAGTTAACCTGTCCTGAATGAGGTACATACGTGATTTCTTTATCTATTTCATGTATCTTTGACTGAAAACAAGACTTTTTAAATTTCTCTATAAATTTTGTGTTTGTTATTTCTTCCATAAGACACGGGTGCATCAGAATTAGATTTTCTCCTCTTTGTAGGACTAGATGCTTACCATTAGTTTAATAGAAAATGTTTTATTACATTTACCTAGGTAGATATTTATGTGCTGACCTTTATTTATGATTACATCTGTTGCTTCATTATTTAGAGAAACAGGTATAAGATGATAGCTTAGGATAAGAAAAATTTCAATTTCATGACTTCATTCAACCAGAATTGTGTAAAATCTTAATCAGAGCCTTTTTTTACATCATGAAATAAGGCTTGTGATTAAATCTGCCTATGCATAACAACTGGTACAGCTCTGCTAGATAGAATTATTTTAGTACATTAGTAAGATCTTAACTCTAGATATATCAAATTTTGATGCATGCTTATCAAATATATTTTACTTTTGAGTTAATGTACTGTGACTTCTGCTCTAAGAAAATTTTGATTCTGTATCACAAGTAAATTTTTAATTGGAGAGTAAATTTTCTTCTGATAAGATAATTTTTGTCTTTCCATAATTTCAACTATTTCTGTAGTTGCATATTTTGTTAGTTTCTTACAGCTGCCATTTGAATCAGCCAATATATTTTGTTTTTTGTGTTTTTTTGTTTTGTTTTGTTTTAATGGGGATCCAACACAAAGCATGAATAGTCCAAGGCTGCAAGTTAATTGTGGTGAAGTTATAGACTTAGGTTGTAGTTCAAATTAGAGAAGACATGGTGCTTAGATTTTGGAGACAACTTGCATGGATGCTACATCCAGAAGAAGTCATGTTATAGTATTCAAATAAACAATATACAGAATATTAAAATGATGGAATTTAGGTAGGGAGTTAATGCACAAGGTATGCCTATAAAATAGTGAATGCTTTGAAAAATATGTAAGTTTCTATCCAGTGAACATCATCCTTTACTCAGTAGGGCTATTGTTTCTCAAAATGTTTGTGGAACTGGCTTTAGAGCTTAAAATAAATGTTCTTTTGAATAGCATTAGTAGGAGAAGATGATTTCCTTTAAATGTTTTGAGACAGCCAATAAATATTTTTGATTCAAACCTGTTGAGTAGCCAGGCTGAGTCAGAAAGAAGGTGTACTCACATAACTGAAGAAATTAGAGTAGCTTTCTCAAGTAGCCAGTAACTTGGCTCAGGTAGCATGGCCTGTCACAACACCAAATTTAAAGTAACTGCATTAAAGTTGGGCCTTTTGCCCTGTTTCTTGTGTCTCTAGTAGATTGAGTGCCAGCTTGCGAACCAAAATGGCGTCAGTTCAATTCAAAGGCAGTTGCTGGTCAGGTGCCCAGTAGGGGATGAGTGCGAGGCAACTGCACATTGATGTTTCTCTTCCTCCCTCCCTCACCTTTCTAAATAAATTTTTTTTAAGTTGGGTCTTTTATGACTTTATTATAGCCATTCCACCAGTCAGTGTAACTTTATGGCCTCTGCTCTTTAGGAATAGGTTTCCATTGGATAATGCCTTGAGTATTTAAGGATGAGGTGTCTTAGCTTCTCAGAGGCCTTCCAGCCCCATTTTGGATTGCTCTCTTGTCAAT